GGGTGCCCACCAGCATGCCACCTCTAGGTGCCTGGTAGCCTCAGGAATCCATGTCTACCTGGTGAGAGCGAGTGAGGGAGACCTTCATCCTCAGCTTCCAATGCCCTGCTGGTTCTGCAGCCACAAGTCAGCTGAACTATCCTTTAGGGACACCTTCACTTCTGAGAGGGCTACAGGAGTGCACAGAGCCCCATTTCCCCAAGGACCTTTGGGAAATTAGAGTACAACCACCCAGGGAGCCAGCTGGCAACATGGGATAGAATTGCAGGGTGAGGGCATCTGGCTTCTTCGGTCCGGGCCTAACCCCTGCTTGGGCCAGCTGTAAGACTACGTGTCCGTCAAAACAACAGCACAAGTCTGCTTATCTGCCCACTGCTCAGCAGCTGGGGTGAGTCTAGCTGGATGTCACATCCAGAGAAGTTTGTACCCATCCAAACCTGGAATAATCTGTCAAATTCTGCAGTCAAATGCTTTACCCCTGAGCCGTACCCCCTAATCTGTCAAGCTATGATTTATCAGAGGTCTCTAAAGGGGAGCAGCTTTGTCCTCCTTAGCCCTCAGGGGACAGGCATACTGGGGGAACCACTTCTCATGCAGACCTCTCCTCTACACCTCCCCATGGGAGGAATTTACCAAACTGGTAAAACTGGAAAGACAGACATCAACTGGGCCATGGGTCAAGTCCCTGCCTTATGCTGGTGTCCATCCCCAACACTCAAAATCTTATGGACCCCCTACCTCGGGTGTGGTGGCCATGGCCCTCACCTTCAGGTTTCACAGGAGCAGACCCCAACATCTCTTTCTTCCCCCTTCTCTGCCCAGGTTGAGTGGATCAAACAAGCAAGCCCTCTCCCAGTTGGCTCAAGTTCACAGGGGAAAGCAATGCACCCAAACTCCTGACCCGGCCAAATCACCACTTAAAACAAAACAACAAACCAAAATAAGTCCCAGGGATGTAACGTACAGTATGGTAACTACAGTTAATAACAACACTGTATTGTATATCAGAAAACCACTAAGAGCATAGATCTTAAAAGCCCTCACCACAAGAAAAGTGGATGGACCGTTCTGCAATACATACAAATACTGAATTGTACACCTGAAACGAATGTCAATCATACCTCAATGAAAACAAACAGCCTTGGTGATGCTGATGCTTGGTTTCTGGTACATGGATAGCAAGCTGAAAAGTGAACTTGAAAATGGAAAAGATCCCTTCACCCTTGCATCACTGCTGCTAAGGCCTGGACATAGCATTTGTTTAAAATTTCCACTGAAACCAGAGAAGGCCATACTGAAAGAGTTAAAGGCTCAAAATTCTGGTCCTCTCAACTGTGCAACTTCATGCAAGTCACTGAACCACTATGAATTCCGATTTTCCCTATAAAATGTAGAGAAGGACTGCTTCACAGGACTTTTTTTTTTTTTTTTGGATGAAAGACACTACAGTCCACAAAAATGGTCCACAAATGTCCCAAACCTGGGCACGGGATGGCTCAGTTAAGCGGCTGTCTTTGGCTCAGGTCATGATCTCAGGGTCCTGGGATTGAGCACTGAGTTGGGACTCCCTGGTTAGCAGGGAGCCTGCTTCTCCCTCTGCCCCTCTACCTCTCCCCCCAAATAACTTAAATCCTTAAAAAACAAAAACAAAAACCAAACAGTGCCTGGCATACACAGCAGGCCTCAGTATCAAATGAATGAATGAAACAAATCCACATATGGCATAATGATGTGCCTATTACTGAAACAGCCAGTGTGAAGCCCTACCAACAGCTCAGAGCTGTCTCTGGGTCTTGCTGCCCTTCTCCTCTACAAAGCTCTGAGGCTGGGCCACATTCTGCCTGTCACTGCTGTGACACTCCCATTCTCCCCATCCATAGCTCCAGCAGGTAAGGGAGCAAAACGTCAGCCCTTGCCAGCGTCACTAAGGCATGAATGTGCAACTGGCTTGTGTTCACCCTGTGACTACAAGGACGTTGCCAAGATTCTAGCCTCCCACCAAGCAGAACTTACATTCCATACTGTTTCGCGTAAGTAGGCTGGGCACGCCAGAAAATCAAGACAACGCTCAAGTCCAAATGATGGTGCACTGCCACTGAGCTCTCCTTGTTGTTTTTCTGGAAGGGGCTTAAGACAACAGCTGAGCCATATACCCACGAGTAGGACACCCGAGCCAAGGAACCGGGTGTGCCTAAGCAATTAACATTTAGCTGAGAGGGAAGCGTACAGCAGAAACTGGTGGTTGGAGCTCCGACGACCAGATTTGACCCTTCATCATGTCGGTGTTCTAGCTGCAACTGAGGAGTGCCAGTAGGAGGGGAAGACCTGCCATAAATCCCCACTATGGAAGCTCTGGCCACCCTATGCAGAAACAGGGGAGGCCAGCACTATCAGGGCTACTGAGGATGGCTACCATTTACTGAGCACTGTGCCAGATCCCGCACCCAGTCCCTAAGCCAGACTATCTTTGTCCCTCACCAGAAAGTTGTATCATCATTTCTATCCACCAAAGATGGAACTGAAGCCCAGAGAGGTTAAGGAGCTTGCCCCACTGACCCAGCTAGTAAATGTCTGGCTCCAAGCTCCTAACCACTGCGGTATAATCCAGGGAAGGGGGAAGTAGGCTTCGCTCTCAGGGAGAAGCAGAAGCGGGGGGGCGGGTAGTTTGAGGCAAAAGCAGCTTGTCCTGGGTAGAAAGGAGGTAGCCAGAAGGGAAGAATCCACGGAATGAGAATGCAAAGAGCTGGCTCAGGTCACCCCTAGTTAAGGGACCAACTTCCAGTCTAAGACGCACCTGAAGCCAGCTCTTCTCTCCTCCTGGGACCCGAGACGAGGGAAGGAAATGGAAACAGATCACCAGCCACCTCTCTGGGTCCAGTCACCTCAGCTCCCCTGCTTTTTATAGATGGAAAAATGGATGCTCTGAATTTCATGCTTTCTCCCCACCCACGTGGGTAATAGGGCCGAAAGTCAGAAGTAGTTGACAGGGCATGGCGTGACACAGGCTAAACAATATAGAGAGAACTGGCAAACAGGCTTTCTCCCTTGCCTGGTTCAAGAGTTGTAAGAATATTACCACTCGGGGCACCTGGGTAGTCGGTTAAGCAGCTGCCTTCAGCTCAGGTCATAATCCCAGGGTCCCAGGCTCTCTGCTCTGTGGGAAACCTGCTTCTCCCTCTCCCTCTGCCTACTTCTTGTGCTCTATCAAATAAAATTAAAAAAAAAAAAAAAATACCACCACTCAGGACAATGTAAGCAGGTTTACAGAAACCCCACCATATGGGTTGTCTTTAGCCTTTCTTTCCTAATTATAAAACCCCAATTATTTATTTATTCAGGCCTGAGGGCTGCACTTTATGGATTAAAGCAGTCCCTATTTTCTCTATCCTTTGGGTTTGAACCACACCGTCTACACTGGCTGCTTTTCAAGGCTGCTTCCTCTACCAGGGAGACCTGGTCCTGCTCTGCCAGTCATGGTTCTATGGGACGTGTGTCTCCCAGGAGTCTACACCAACAGGGACAGTGAACACGATGAGACGATCACCACTGACTCTCAGCCTCCCGTGATACCAGAGAGCAGAAATCTCCCCTGGTGGAGCCTCAACCTTCTCAACACAATCTAGCTACGTTGGCAGACCGGGAGGGAGTTGGGACCCAAGATCCCGTACAGGAAAAGCAAGATCTTGTTCTTAGGTGGATTAGCTTTCAAGTTTTAATCCCTATCACCTTTTGTCCCCTTCTCCTCACAACAGAGGCCACAAGGTACAGTTATGGCTTCTTAAAAATCCAATCACAGGGGCGCCTGGGTGGCTCAGTTGGTTAAACATCTGCCTTAGGCTCAGGTCATGATGGGATCGAGCCCCTCATCGGGCTCCTGGCTCAGTGGGGAGCCTGCTTCTCCCTCTCCCCGCCCACACCCCGCTCATGCTCTCTCTCAGATAAAATCTCAAATAAAATCTTAAAAAAAAAAAAAAGTCAAACCACATAGAGATGGCGGCTCTGACTCCTCGGTCTGCCTCCTGAAACGGCGTGAGGTTGCTCTGGGTACATGCTGTAATGACGACAGCTCAATCGCAGGAACAATGGAACAGAGAAGCAGAAGGTGCCTACACAGTTTTACCTAAATGTCTTGTTTGTTAGGATGGAGCCGAGGCGCCTGTGCTGAGAGTCAGGAACAATTAGCATGGTCCTGAAAAGGAAGAAGGATTCACAAGGCATCACTTGTGGGTGAAGGGAAGTCACCATCTGCTAACGGGCACCGGAGTGTCACTGCATTGGAAGGGGAGAGGCAGTGGGTTGGAGGAGATCCAGGGGCCTCTCTGCCCACATTAAAAATGAGTAGCTGCTCTGCCTGCCAGCACCACAGTGTCAACACATTCTGTGTGTGTCTCTCTCCGTCTCACACCCAAAAAAGTAGAAACAAGTGACGTAGGAACCCAGGGGAAGAGAGAACTGTACAGACTCGTTCTCCTGGAGGAGGGGAGCTTACAGATGTTTTTGTGTTTGCTTTTCAAGAGCATGCCTCCCTCTAACTTCATCTCTCTCCATCCCGGAGGGAGAGCCTCTGCCTCCCTTAAGGAGACAGGTGGAACAGTGCCTCGAGGTCTTGGCTGCGCACAGTCTTGAAACTGCCCTGTGCAGGAAGCGGGGGCACAGAGGGGAGGAAAGGACAGGGCAGCACCTTTAGGCCACAAAGAGCTTCCACAGTTAGAAGCCTCAACTACAAACATTCCAAACAGAGAGGGGCCTTGACAGAGCACAGAGTCAAGTCAGAACAGGCAGGTGTGTCCCACTGTGGCTGGCACTCAGAATTCCAGAAGCTGCTAGAAATAAGTCATCTCGTCTACATACCTACCAGGGCTTCTGCTTTCTCGCCATGATGAAATAAGGTAAGGCCCATGTTTGTTTCTCTAAGGTTTAGGGTCTTAAATGGCATTGGATGGAGGGAGTGGGAGGAGAAGGAATAAGGAAAAACTCCACAATGAGTGCTGAGCGCTGAGTGACACCCCTGGCAGATGTAGTTTATAATCTTTACTTAGTCACACAACATCAAGAATTGGTCAGTTCCAAGGGGGTGCAGCAGTTCACCTGGGGCCTCCCTCCGCCCCACCCCCCAAAATGCTCCACAGCGCAGTACAACCACACGGTGCGCTCAGCTAGAAGAGAAGGGTTAAATGATGTCTGTCCCATAACTGCCCTTGCTTCTCTGTGCCGTCAGGAAGGGAAACAAAGAAAACAAGAAAGCAACAGGATCCATACACTGCACACCAGCGGGTGGCTATCTTCCCGGGCATTTCTGGGGGAACCTCAGCGGAGCCGCGGCCCCCGCCCCACCACCACGGCAAGGGAAGAGGAAGCAAGACAGGGCCGCACACCTGCACTGGAGTAGAAAGAGAAACCAAACACAAGATGGGCCACAGTGGATTCTGGCACATTTTTAGATGAGGTTAAAAATGTCACGGTGTGCACAGGAAGCGGCAAAGGAGTTCTGAGGGAGGGGATGCCCGGAGGTGGAACAAACCCACCGGTCTACTCGGGCAGGAGCTCTGGGAGGGACACAGGAGCTACGGGGCCTCTAGGAAGGTGTTGGTTCGGAAGATGGAGGAGACGATCTTGCCGGTGGCGTTGATCGTGCCTTCGCTGTCTGAGCTGGACTCAGAGTCACTGCTCCCGGAGTAGGCGCCCAAGCCCGGGAGGATGCCGATGCAGACCGCAGCGGAGGGGCAGTGGATGGAAGGGGCGCTCAGGGACGTGCTGCTGAGAGACATGCAGGACGGGGCTTCTGCAAGACAGGAGGAAGGGCCGTGACTTCACCTCCTTTCCCAGAGCTGAGAACTTGCCACTGTGCCCCAGGCTTTACCGTGAAGCCCCAACCACCCTATGCAGTCAGCACCACCGGCACCCGCGTCTGACAGCTGTTCCTTTTCACCGTTGACAAAACTGACGCCATGCTCAGAGAATGTTTTAAGAGCGTGCAGAATGTGACCAAGTAGCTAGGTTTCTTCTTGCCCCGGGAAACCCAGAACCATGGCAGCACCTGAGAGATGGAAAACCTCAATCTAGAAAACATGGGGACTTGAGGATGAGATGAAAACTTAAGGACTCTACTCCACCCCTCTCGTTGCCTCTAAATGTTTCCAGCCTCACTGAATCTCTACAACAACCTGATATATAGGTATCCCCCATTTTACTGATGAGGGGGGTCAAAGGACTAGGCCAAGGTTAAAGGCCACTTAGAGTAAAAAATGTTAAACCAAACCTGACTCAAAAAATTGGGATGCCTTGGTGGCTCAGCCGGTTCAGCATCCAATTCTTTGTTTTGGCTCAGGTCGTGAGATTGAGCCCCACGTTAGGCTCCAAGCTGGGCATGGAGCCCACTTAGGATCCTCTCTCTCCCTGTGCCTCTCAACACCCAAACCCCGCCAACTCACGCATGCGTGCTCTCCTTCTCTTAAAAATAATAATAATAATGTACTAAAACAATACCAGAGCTCACCATGGAGTAAGGGTTAGAGTTCAAACCTTACTGTCTCGGGCTGACAAGCATATACCTTTCTAGGCTTTTGCCTTAACAAGCCCCTAAGGAACACTTCACGTAAATGTGAAAAGGACACGTGGTTCCAAAGTATATGAAGTCAAGAGTAAGTCACAAAAATACCACTGAGAGGCAAAAAGAGATCTCCGGTGGCCAATACACGGAGTTCAGGAGTTCACTGTATTCACTCGTCTTACAGGAAGTTCTAATAGGGGAAGAGATGCTGCTGAAGAAAGGCAGCAGCGGAACACAGAGACACAGAAAAGTGAAATGAGAGCTGACACCGCTCGTAGAGATGGTGGTAATGAGACAACAGGAAAGCAGAGGCAGAGTTACAACAAATACATGAAAGCAGATTTCTTTGGGATACAAAGAGTTCTTCCAAAACCAACCAACCAACCAACCGCTGAATAGAAAAGGGGACAGCAGTGCATGGGTGGACTGAGTGTCTAACTCGTGATTTTGGCTCAAGTCATGATCTTGGGATCACGGGATTGAGCCCTGTGCTGGGCCCCGCACTCAGCAGTCCTCTGCTTGAGGCCTCTCCCTCTCCCTCGGGCCCTCCCCACTTTGCTCACTTGTGCTCTAAAACAAACATAAATGTTTAAAAATAAGTGGACAGAATGCATGAACAGTTCACAGGAAAAGAAAAAAATGGCATTTAAACTTGGGAGAATGGGGGAACCTGGGTGGCTCAGTGGATGAAGCATCTGCCTTCAGCTCAGGTCATGATCCCGGAGTTCCAGGATCAAGTCCCACATAGGGCTCCCCGCTGAGCGGGGAGCTTGTTTCTCCATTGGACCTTCCCCACTCTTGTGCTTTCTCTCAAGATAAATAAATAAAATCTTTAAAAATAAAAAAAAATAAATAAAATGAACTTGGGAGAATAAACAATCTATAAGGAGGGAAGTTATGGGCAACAGGCATCTTCGTGTGTTGCTCAGAAATGCAGGGCAGTGTCCTTCGAAATTAAACTATATTCATATAAGACCATTCCCTCTAGCACTGTTAATAGCAGGAACCAAAAGGTTCATTATGACGGGGGGTGGGGGGTGCCTGGGTGGCTCAGTGGGTTAAGCCTCTGCCTTCGGCTCAGGTCATGATCTCAGGGTCCTGGGATCAAGCCCCACATCGGGCTCCCTGCTCAGCAAGGAGCCTGCTTCCCCCTCTCTCTCTCTGCCTGCCTCTCTTCCTACTTGTGATCTGTCAAATAAATAAATAAAATCTTAAAAAAAAAGACCAGTGTAAGGGACTACAATTCAGCCATAAAGAAGAGTAATGCCTCTGCGTACTGGTATGGAATAGTCTCCAAGACACCATGCTATATGAAAGAGGCCAGGCTATGTGTAAGCTACAGTCTGTGGGGAGAGAGAATGCCCACGGACACGCATGATAACGTCAAAAACAAAACATGTAAGACTCTAACAGTGACTGCCCGGGGAGATCAGCTGAGTGGTCAGATAATAGGGGAGACTTAACTTTTACTCCACATACTTTTGCCCCTTTTGAATTTTCTATTATGTGTGTATACTAACTATATAGATATTTTAGAAAAGCAAATGCAAAAGTTCAAAGAACATCATCATCTACTTAAATTAGGGAGGAATAGTCCCACATATCTGTCTAAGCCCAAGGGCAGCTCTGTATTACAGCCAGGAAGGCTGTAGAAGAAGGTAAAGTCTAATGATAAGAAGACCTGCTGGTCTGTATTCTCTATCTGTAAGCCTGAAGGCAAGGGCTCTTCCTTCACCACTCTGTCCCTTGGGCACACAGCATGGGGCCTAGCACAGAGCAAGTCAGCATTCACAATGCATTGAAGACATTTTACAGAAGTTCACTGCAAATAGCTAAATTTGGGGGTGGTGGTGGTGAAAATTTGGGACACAACATCAAACTGTACACCATTCACTACTTGAATATCCATTGTATTATTTTCACATGCTCAGTGACACTTTCATTCTGTTAGAAATATTTGGTTAAGGGGCACCTGGGTGGCTCAGTTGTTAAGTCTCTGCCTTCAGCTCAGGTCATGATCCCAGGGGCCTGGGATCCAGCCCTGTGTCAATGGGAAGCCTGCTTCTCCATCTCCCACTATCCCTGCTTGTGTTCCCTCTCTTGATGTGGCTCTGTCAAATAAATAAATACAATCTTAAATAAATAACAAAGTAATTTAAAAAAAAAAAGGAGAGGAAAAAAAAGTATCTGGTTAAGGGGCACCTGGGTGGCTCAGTCAGTTTAGTGTCCACTGTCAGCTCAGATGACCCCAGGGTCCTAGGATCAAGCCCCAAGTCAGACTCCCAGGACAGTGGGGAGCCTGCCTCTTCCTCTCCTCTCCACTTGTGCTCACTCTGGGTCACTATCTCTCAAATAAATAAACAAATGAATAAATGAATAAAACCTAAAAACAAAACAAAACTATTTGGTCAAAATAAAACCAGCTGAACCCACAACCTGGGGCGCCTGGTTGGCTCAGCATTAAGCGCCTGCCTTAGACTCAGGTCATGATCTCAGGGTTTTGGGATTGAGCCTCGATCAGACTCTCTGCTCAGCGGGGAGTCTGCTTTTCCCTCTCATTCTCTCTCTCTGCTCTCCTTCTCTAAGATTTTGAAAAAATCTTTTTTAAAAAAGCTGCTATCTTATGAGGTATGCATCAGTTACCCAGAAAAGTAATTTATGTGAAGCTGTTAAGTGAGATGTCATTTTATTAAGTATTTCAAGGGTGAATTGAATTTTAGTCTCTAGCTTAGATACAAATGGAAGATCAAGTTCAGAGTATCTGTGCAAGACTAGAGCTAGCCTAATGGAAGGATGGAAGCCAGCCACAGAAATGAAACCAAGGAGGGGTGCCTGGGTAGCTCAGTCGGTTAAGCATCTGACTCTTGGTTTCAGCTCAGGTCATGAGACTTCAGCTTCAGAGACTTTCAGCTCTGTCATGAGATTGCCTGAGAGTCTCTCTCTCCCTCTCCACCCCGCCAAATGAATAAAGAGAGAGAGAGAAAGAAGAGAGAAGAGAAAAAGAAAAACGAAACGAAACCCAAGGAATCTAAACCATGGTGGCAACAGGAGAGTTTCAGCAAAAAGACCAAATCCCTCAATTATCTAGGTTTCAAGAAAGAAAAGAGACTGCAATTCTGACAAATTTCATTCCAAAAATAGTTACACTGTCCAAAGAGAACAAAATGGTGCCCTCTGATCTCACCCATTTGGTGAAGTTTCCTGCCAACTTCTGCATTTGCAGGACCACGTTGTCATACCAAATTAACACCGAAAATTACTAATAGAGAATGTTTTTGGGATTCAAACAGACGCGTGACTTGACAGCCAATGGGGCCAATTGTGCATTCATTCACAGGCTCTGTTTGGAGCTGAAGTCCAGAGCCTCCAGTGGGGAAGCCTGAATCTCCATTAGGGTCACAGAGCTATCTTCTGGGAGAACTAAAGGGACAAAGCCTTCTGCCATGGACAAGACTCTCAAGCAAGCTTTCAGGGAATATTCTTCCTGTGGGGCCTCAGCATCTAACAGAAGAGGGTATTTCATGCCCAGCTGTAAGAATGCCGCTGTAAGAATGGAGTGGGGGAGGACGAAGGGATTAAGAAAGGTGGCTCTGAAACATGGCGTCTACCCGAGATAGTTTAAAAAAGCCACACAAGTTTTCCTTTCTACTGACTGATGCGAATAGTTCCTACAAGGGAATAAGCACCAGATACAGGGCTACTAATTAACCAGTTGAAGTATGTTCAAGATTTCTGTAAAGTTTTATATACTTATGTGCATACAGACACAATACACACGTAACCCTATTTAAGCAGCCAATTTAGCAAGTTTCCTATATATTGAAAAGAGACCAGTGAAATGGAGCTCCCATATTGCTGATGAGAATGTAAACTGCCATAACTTCTTTGCAGGGGGGTTGCAATATTTATCTGAATTACAAAAGTATATCCTCTCCGTCCCAATAATTCTTTTAAGTATTTACCCTAATATATCATGAATGTGATGAATGATGCATGTACAAAGTTATTTAATGAAACCTCATACCAGAGAAAAAATGGAAACAATCTAAATGTTCATCATAAAAAAACAGGATAGGGGCTTCTGGGGGGCTCAGTCTGTTAAGCGTCTGACTCTTGATTTCAGCTCAGGTCATGATCTCAGGGTTGTGAGATTCATCCCTGCACTGGGCTCCGTGCTCAGTGGGAAGTCTGCTTGAGATTCTCTCTCTCCCTCCGCCCCTTTCCCAACTTAT